ACATCTGGGTGGCTCAGTGGGTTAAGCGTCCAACTTCGGTTCATGTCATGATCTCACAGTTCATGGGTTCGAGCCCTGCATCCAACTCTGTGCTGACAGCTCACGGCCTGGAGGCTGCTTCAGATTCTGTGTCTCCCTCTCTCTCTGCTCCTCCCAGGCACACGCTCTGTGTCTCTCAATTAAAAATAAACGTTAAAAAAATAACTAAAAAAAAAGTAAATGGAAAAGAAATCAATAGTAAGGAAAAAAATAATAAACTGCCTTAGGCCACTTATCTATGTATTTATAACTCCCAGTTCTGTGCCCTTCTAAGCCTGTTGCCAAAAACCTGTCTGTAGGGTCAACATGAGCACAAGACTCTATTACTTGGGCAGGACAGGCTCATTTGAGGCAATCTGTGTGCTACAAATAGGAAGCTGAGAATGATTATATGGGGGCATCTACGTGGCTCAGTCGGAGGAGCATGTGACTCTTGATCTCAGGGTAATGAGTTTGAGCCCCGTGTCAGGTGTAGCAATTACTTAAATAAATAAAACTTTAAAAAAATGGGGGCACTTGGGTGGCTCAGTCAAGCATCCAACTCTTGATTTCGGCTCAGCTCACAGTCCTGAGGTTTGTTCATAAGATTCAGGATGGAGTCGGGCTCTGCACTGACACCATGGAGCTTGCTTGGGATTCTCTCTCTCCTTCACTCTGTGCTCCTGCCCCTGCCTCTCTCAAAAATATATATATATAAACTTTTGAAAAAAGATTATATGGTCTTTGGGGTTCCTCCAGCTCCCAGATTCTACAGCTAATAAAAGGGGGAGGGGGAGGAGAGCCTCCTTCATTCTAAACTCTATACATAGCTCTTTCTGAAGCCAGACAAACCAAGATAGATAGGGAAGGCTGTTCTCCCTGTCTTGAGCTTCACTGGGTGGTATCATCTTGCTGAATCCATCTCAGTCCAGGGTGGTGTCCTAGGAAAAGACCTTCTGCTTTGGGGAGGAAGGGTGGATGTATAACCAAACCAAAGGGCCAATTTATGAAGTGACAGTGAACAATATAACAGCAAGGGCACCAAGCACTTCCACCCTTAACCCTTGACTTCCTACCCTGTGGTCACCTCCATGGAAAGCACATAGTGTTTAAAAAAGTAAAAATTTTAGGGGCACCTAGGTGGCTCAGTTGAGAGAGCACGTGACTTTTTTTTTTTTTAAGATTTATTTTTCTTTCTTTCTTTTTTCTTTTTTCTTTTTTTTTCTTTTAAGTAATCTCTCCACCCAACTGGGGCTCGAACTTACAACCGGGAGGTCAAGAGTAGCATACTCCAGGGACTGAGCCAGCCGGGCGCCTCTAGAGTATGTGACTCTTGATCACGGGTTGTGACTTAGAGCCCACTGTTGGGTGTAGAGATTACTTAAAAACAAAATTTTAATTTTTTTTTTTTTTTTTTTTGTGGAGACGCTGGAGATCGAACAGGGTCTCAAACAGCAGATAGCGCTTTAGAAGCGTGTCAGTCGGTGAAGAATTGGGAGGAAAGGCCGGACTCCGCCTCACGCGGCTCAGGGAAAAGCTTGATGCGTCACCTCCAGGACAGAGGAGCACCTGCCCCCGGGTAGGCAGACGATCCCCTGAGCCAGAACTGCTCCTGGACTTGGGTGGCCAGACTTGCATTATCCCCAGATATTCGCTATTCATCCCTTTCCTGGCCGACCAGGCCCTCTTTCAGCTAGACGATCCTCCTTTAAATATGCTAATACTTTCCTCCTCTAGGGACGGTCCAGTCCTAGGCGCTGATCTCTGTGTGGACTGGGGAGTTTCCTTTTTTCCCAGCTTGGGTAGGGGTGGAGTGGGCGATCTCACAGTTGCCACCTCTTCTGACCCCTCCCCAGTCCTCCTGATACCTGGCTTAAGAGGGTAGGGGGCTGGGAGGGCCCTTTCCCGCCACGGGGTCGCCCAGAGGGCTGGATCTTCCCGCCGGCGAGAAGGGCTGGTGCAAAACGCCGGGCAGCGCCCTCCCCGAGGCTGGGAGCCCAGCAGGGGCGTGTCCCCGCGCTCACCTGCCATTGGACAGGTGGGGCGGCCGAGCCGTACTATAAATGCGGAGCCGCCCGCCGCGGAGCCAGGCGCGCTGCACGATGGTGGACAGTGTGTACCGCACCCGCTCCCTGGGGGTGGCGGCCGAAGGACTCCCGGACCAGTACGCGGACGGAGAGGCGGCACGCGTGTGGCAGCTCTACATCGGGGACACCCGCAGCCGCACGGCCGAGTACAAGGCCTGGCTGCTCGGGCTGCTGCGCCAGCACGGCTGCCAGCGGGTGCTCGACGTGGCCTGCGGCACCGGGTGAGCCGGGGCGGGGGCCAGGGAGCCGCTGGCTCGGCGTGGGGGGGCGGGGGGTGTGGGACCTCGGCCTGGTTGGTCCGGCAGCCTCCACCTGCGAGCCGCAGCCGGCCCGGGGCGGGACGAGGGGGGCAGAGCGGGCGGGAGGAGGGGCTGAAGACACCCGGGGGCAGAGGGGGCGTGTAAGCACCGCAGGGTGGGGCCTGCCGGTTCGCCGGGGAGGGCGGCGGCCGGGCTTTGGCGCCAGACCGACGTAAGCTCGGGTCCTGGCTGCAGCACTGGTCCCGAAGTGATGGCCTTGGGCAGTGTTAACAGTTAACATTTGTTCAATATTTGCCCGTGCCGCCACGCGCGGTGCCAGGAGCTTTTGGCACATCCGTTTTTAAGATCCTCACATAACCTCATGAGGTAAGGAGTGATACCCCACTTACAGTTGTGGAAATCCCGCCTCAGAGGAGCGAAAGCCTTCTACCTAGTGGAGAGGACATTCAGACAAGACACCGTGCTGCACTACCTCCCCTGCACAGGTTCCTAAATTCCAGGAGCCTCAGTTTGCCCCGTCCCTCAAGTGGGGATAACATTGTCTACCTCACAGGGTTGCCATGAGAATTAATGCACATTTATAGAGCGCCCGGCTCTGAAGAGGTGCTAAAAAACCAAACCCAGAATTTGCTACCTGGTGATAAACCGATTTGCCAGGTCATTTGAGGTCAGTGGAGAAGGCCTAAGGAGAGGAAGCAGAGGAATGGTCTCAAGAGTGGAGGAGACAGAAGTGCCCAGCACAGAGCCTCCTCCTTGCCTTCCCAGACCCCCTGACTGCCCCTCTTGGCCTCTCATCTCTGACCCTGCCCAGGGTGGACTCCATCATGCTGGTGGAAGAGGGCTTCACCGTGACCAGTGTGGATGCCAGTGACAAGATGCTGAAATACGCGCTTAAAGAGCGCTGGAACCGGCGGCACGAACCGGCCTTTGACAAGTGGGGTATGCAGGTCCAGTCAGGCCCTCCCCACCCAGCCGCCAGGGACTCGGTACTCTCTGCCCTGGGCTCCTTCAGCTCCTGTGCTGGTGTGCTTTGTTTTCCTTAAGGGGGACAGCAAAATTACTTTCATTTCCCTGGAAAGGGAGGCTTATGCACCAGAATGAGGTATCTGGTGATGAGTCTTCTCCCTCCTCCCAAATAAAAACACAGAAGCACGGAGCCATGCTTCCCATCCCTGGTTTCCTCCTCCCTTGACCCCTTCTCCCTTCCCCCTCCATGTCCATGGTGAGCTCCTCCTTCTAACCGGATGGGGAATCCCTGTGTGTCTTGAAGGGGAAACTGAGGCTGGGTTGCACTTGGTGGAGGTGAGTGCTGCTGGTGCCATGGTGCCACCCTGATCCCTCTTCCCCTTCCTGGTCCCAGTCATTGAAGAAGCCAACTGGATGACTCTGGACAAAGATGTGCCCCAGCCACCAGGGGGCGGCTTCGATGCGGTCATCTGCCTTGGCAATAGTTTTGCCCACTTGCCAGACTGCAGAGGTGAGAGAGGGCGTGGCCTTGAGCATGGCCCCTGCTTTGAGCTGTACCTCTTTCCACAGACCCCTGGGTGCCTGCTCTCCTGACAGAGCAGACTGTTTTCTGCTCCTCTGTGCCTTGGCATCTGTATCCCTGGGGAGGAGAAAGATGGGAGGGAGACTGGTGCTCGGAGCCCTGAGCAGATGGAGCCTCTCTGCCCCTGCCCGGAGCTCAGGAGACCAGAGTGAGCACCGGCTGGCACTGAGGAACATCGCGAGCATGGTGCGGTCTGGGGGCCTGTTGGTCATCGATCATCGCAACTACGACCACATCCTCAGCACAGGCTGTGCACCCCCAGGAAAGAACATCTACTATAAGGTGGGGCCCCTGGGGGGGGGGGAGGCCCAGAGTGGGGGATGGGGGACGTGATCCTGCGGTCCAGGCCCCACAATGGTTGCAGAGGCTAATGCAGCCTGCACCACCACCTACAGAGTGACTTGACCAAGGATATCACGACATCAGTGCTGATGGTGAACAACAAGGCCCACATGGTGACCCTGGACTACACGGTGCAGGTGCCGGGCGCTGGCCAGGATGGTTCTCCTGGTTTGAGGTACCCACTCGGCTAGGTAGGGGTGAGGAGGGGTGGTGCTGAGGCCACCAGCCCTCATGGTTGGTTGGGGGCTCTGTTGCAGTAAGTTCCGGCTCTCCTACTACCCGCACCGTTTGGCTTCCTTCACGGAGTTGCTCCGAGCAGCCTTCGGGGGCAAGTGCCAGCACAGTGTCCTGGGGGACTTCAAGCCTTACAAGCCTGGCCAGGCCTACATCCCTTGCTATTTCATCCATGTGCTCAAGAGGACGGACTGAGTGCTGAGCATGGCCTCTGCCCAGGCACTGCCAGATCCATCTGGGGAGGTGGGGACTGGCAGCCCCATACCAAGCCTAACCCCTGGTGCAGACCCTTGGGGTGTGGGGAGGGGCAGACTGCTGCTGGGGGTACGGGGATTTGGGTTCAGGCAAATGGAAGTGTGAGCAATATAGTCTGTGCCTTTTTCAGTTCCTGCACACTTGGTGTTTATATCAGAAGGATCAGGCTCCTGTGGTGCCCGCCTTGCCCTCCCCTGTGGCTCACTCCTTCCACAATCTTGCTCTTTCCCACTGCACCCTTTCAGACCACAACCAGCAGGGGGCAGCATACATTTTATTTTCAGCCAAGACTGGACTCCCTCAGTGCCCCACCCCAGAACTCCAGGCCCAAGCCCCTCCTTCTGAGCAGAGGGTCTTTGGTGTTGGAGCTGGAGCTGGCCTGGGAGGACGAACAGGTAGGCAGGGGATGATGCCTCTGAGCTCTTGTGGGGCTACTCGGCACCTCGGGGTTCTCAGGAAGGTAGGCCAACTTTGGGTGCAATAGCAGCACACTGAGAAAGGGCCCCTTGCTCTCTCAGGTCTCTGTGGGGACATCTGAGTACCTTTAGCCACTGTGGGCAGGGTCCCGGCTTGCAGGAGGCTCCTAGCAGGCGGCAAACTTGCGCTGGATGCGCTTGTACCGGAGCAGCTCCTGCTCACTGACCGAGGGCTGCAGCCGGGCAGCGGCCTGCAGCAGGTCCTCCATGGTGAGCAGCAGTGCTGAGCTTCCGGGCTCCAGCCCTGGGAGGGGGTGATAGGGGGCAACAGAGGCTGTGGTCTATGTCCGAGGAGGGCAGAGCCCTGGGTAGGCATCTTCTTGCCAAGAGTCCCCTAAAAGTCAACAGTCCCTCCTCTGAAATCTAGGACCAGGCCTGGTTCCCATTAGCTTTTTGGTTGACCTCTGGGGCTGGCAAGTGACTCACCTTCCTCCAGGTCCTGAACCCTGCGTTTGAGGGCAGCTGTCATGGCATCAGAGCAGAGGGAGTAGAGGTCTGCCCCCGTCAGCTGGGGAGGGCAGCGGTCCAGCACGTTCACCAAGCTCACGGAGGGCTCTAGCTTGAATCTGTTGTGCAGATACAGGAAAGGAGAGAAACAGTTTTACCTGGCATCCCCTACTTTGTCAAGAGGCATCCCTGACCAGCTTATTCTGCATGTTGCATTTATCCCCGGACCATCCCAAGGCCCAAGGCCCAAGCCCTTTGGGAGTCTCCCCCTAACAGGGCATACTTGCGCGTGATGGCACTCAGAACGCGTAGCTGGGAGGCGCGGTCCTCGCTCACCCCCACAAACACCAGCTTGTCAAATCTTTAGGGAAATAGGCGGGCATAAGGGTCAGGGAGCCCAGCATGGGGGTGGAGGAGGCATAGGATGGGGGTCAGGGGAGAGGCCCCAGTGGGCCTGGTAGAGGTGAGAGGTATGGGGTGCACACCTGCCAGGCCGCAGAAGGGCAGGGTCCAGGAGGTCTGGTCTGTTGGTAGCCCCAATCACAAACACATCTCGAGTGCTGTGAAGCCCATCCAGCTCGGCCAGGAGCTGAGACACCACCCTACAAATCAGGACATGAAGGCAAGAGAGTCCTTGGCCCTTCCTCGGCCCCTGCCCTACCAGCAGTGCCTGTCCTTACAGGTCTTCTCCACAGGGCCACCTGCTCTGCTGTGCCCTGTACACCCCTCCAGGCAGGCCCCCCATTCCATTCAACATCCCCCACCCAACTCCAAGGCCCCTATTTCAGAACTGGAATGACAGGTACTCTGGGTGCTGAACAATGTTGCAACCTGTCTCCCATCCCTCCGTCTTGGACCCCAGACTCCATTCTGGCTCAGACCCCCACCTGTCCATCACACCTCCAGAGTCTCCACTTCGCCCCCGGCTTGGAGCCAGGGAGTCCAGTTCATCAAAGAAGATAATGCATGGAGCCGCAGCCCTGGCCCTGGCAAACACTGAGGAGAGAAAGGGACACACAGGAGGGGGAAGCTCAGGGGGGTCTAAAGTCAGGAGATAGGGGAGGAAGAGCCAGGTGTGACAACTCATCCCTCCAGGTACTAGGCCACCCTGGGCATGTCCTTTGTGGAAAGGACCGTGAGACCTTAGAAAGACCAGGAGCAGCCTGGGGGTGTTGGTAGGCTGCACAAGGGCCATCGGGGTTTGGGAAGGGCTAGAACCTGGGCCCCTCCTCACCCACTCACCTTCCCGCACATTCTCCTCACTTTGGCCCACATACATGTTGATAAGCTCGGGCCCCTTCACGCTGAAGGAGAGGATGAGATTTGTCAGATGCCTAAACACACAAGTGACCTCTCAGCCAGCCCCTCCTGCTCCCCAGCCTGTTGCGGCCCCCAATTTGCCCACCATCCCTTCCACACCCCCTCGCCACCTGAGGAAGGTAAGGCTGCATTCAGTGGCTACTGCCTTGGCCAGGAGGGTCTTGCCAGTGCCAGGGGGACCATGGAGCAGAAGGCCCGAGCGCCTCAGGCCCAGGCTCAGAAGCTCTGGGTGCTCTAGAGGGAGCTGAATGGTCTCCAGAATCTCCTTCTTCACCTCCTGCAGCCCGCCCACATCATGCCAGGACACCGAGGGGATCTAGGAGACGGAAAGTGCATGGTTGGGGATATGGTGGTGAAGAGAGCTGCAGTCCTACCTCCAAGGACCTGGAGTCTCTACCTTGGGGGCTCCAATGGCCCGAGAGTGAGCTGTCTGCAGCTGCTCCAGTGCCTGCCCGAAATCCTCAGCCAGGAGGGGAAAGCCAGCAGCACACAGCTCCCCCTCATCCTCCTCACTCAAGCCGCCTGCCAAACTGCAAAGAGAAACCCAGGAAGGCCTCTGGAGGACCTGACGTACGTACCCTGACGTACATCAGGGTCCTGTTTTCTCCTCCCCGCGCCCCCCCAGCCCTCACCCATCCACCCACCCACAATTCCTCTTGCCTCCTTTCCCTTCTGTGCCCAGTTTCCTTACCCCAAGTTCTTGATCCTGGCACAGGCTGCCCGGCTGCTGTGGGTCAAAAGGGCATAGAGATCCCCTACCACAAAGCCCTGGGAACCACAGGAAAGGACACATGAGCAGGGCACAGTTGGCAAGAGCCCTCAGGAGGCTAGTCCCCCAGCTGGCGCAGAGGCCCCAGTGTTGTTGAAGCCTCGGGGTTTTCTACCCTCACTCGCAGGGCAGCTGGATCGTACCACCGCGGCTCAGAGTGCGGGGAGGCCTGTGCCCGCCTCAGTACTCACTGCGCACCGCCGTGCCAGCTGTGGCAGCTTCACCTCTTGGCCCAGCGGGAGATGGGCAGTGAGGGCCCGCAGGACACTGAGCCGCTGCCCCTCTGACAGCACGGGCACCTCCAGCTGGTGAGGAAATGCTGTCTGGACGTCGACAGGCAGGTCCTGGGCCTTGCTTGTGGTGGCCACAGTGATCAGCGGCGGGTAGCTGCAGACACGGAGTGGGCACTGAGGGCGAGAATGTGGCTGGCAGCCCCTGAGCCCTGTCCTGTCAGGAGGCTGGTGCCATAGGGCAGGGAGGTGGGTGGGTGCTGGGATGGGAGAGGTGAGCACCCCACAGCTTCCTGGATGGGGCTCCATGGGCATACCTTGAGAGGGGGACCTATGCTTCCCCCCTCACACAGGGAGCTCCCTGAGGGTAGAGCCTGTGCTTTTTCTCTAGTGCTCCCCACAAAACACGAGGGAGCACATCCTCCTCCCTCTGAATACCCCAAGCTCCTCTGCTCAGGGCCGTCTGGAGAATGGCCAAATGGGTGGGATGTCTGAGAAGCCATTTGAGGAAGAGAGGGCAAAAGGCTGAAGAGAGATGAGGGTGGCTTGGCCCTGCCCCTTTACAGACCCAGCTCTGTATAATACCTGGTGAGGGGGTCCTCATCGAGGAGGAGGTGACGCAGCGTGGCCACCACACGGGCGTCCTCACCGAGCCCATCACGGTCCCGACCCAGAAGGTCCACGGCTGTCAGCAATAGAACCACAGGCCGGCAGCGCCGGGCCCGGGAGAAGATGGCCTGCAGTTTTGCCTCCACAGCTCCGCTACTGTCTGCACAGAGGTTGGAGCAGGGCACCTGGGGAGGAGACCCCGATGGTCTGTGAGCAAGGGGCAGGTGTGACTGAGGCAGGAATGGCGGGGAGAGTAGCCAGAAGATGCCAGCCATCTTCTTTTTAGAGAGCAGGGATGGGGGAGAAGGTAACACTGGCCAAGTCCTACCTCTTCTTTACTCTAACTTCATTCCCTGGACTGTCCAACAAAATCTTCAAATCCCTTCCTTTTATTTTTTTTAATTTTTTTTTCAATGTTTATTTATTTTTGGGACAGAGAGAGACAGAGCATGAACGGGGGAGGGGCAGAGAGAGAGGGAGACACAGAATCGGAAACAGGCTCCAGGCTCCGAGCCATCAGCCCAGAGCCTGACGCGGGGCTCGAACTCACGGACCGCGAGATCGTGACCTGGCTGAAGTCGGACGCTTAACCGACTGTGCCACCCAGGTGCCCCCAAATTCCTTCCTTTTTTAAAGTCTCTCTTAGTAGCTGAGAATCATGGGAATCTGCCTGACCAACTGGCCCACTGGGCCGAGGCATTAGGGCCAGGCCAGGGAGGAGGGGAGAAGGAGAATCTGGGCTGGGGAAATGTGGTTGGGGTTCTACTCTCCAGGTACCCTCACCTTCAGTAGGTGGAGGCCAAGGCGGCTGCAGGCTGCAGTGACAGCTGTGGTCTTCCCACTGCCTGGGGGACCATGGAGAAGGACACTGCTGGTTCCTGTCAAGAGGGCACCTCTGCAACCAGAGAACAGACACTTGTCTCCTCCATTCTCTCAAAGTTAAGAGCCCTCAGTAGCAGGGGTCCTTGGATCTAGAAAGCAGATAGCCTGTTTCTCTTTTCTTGAGGCATCCCCCTTCCTCCAGGGCTGTTTGCATATGGTGAGGCTGTATTTCCCATACCACCCGTGGTGCTCTGGCGGGGGCATGGAGTATATCCACCAGCCAGGACAACTCCCTTGTCGTCACGGCCTTCAGTAAAGCCTTGACTGTTATGTCTCGTCTGGAATCACGAGGAATTAGGGAAGGGTCTGTGTCTACACTTAGGCCAGTGGTATGAGGAACTGCATCTTTTGGGGCCAGGGTGGTGAAGGACAGAATGGCTAGTGGGCTCCCCAAGGGGAAGGGCGGTCTCAGAGACAGCTGTCTCTGGTAGAGATTCTTCCTCCCCAGCCGACCCTGGAGGATGGAGATTATCCCCAGAAAGGAGCCTAGGAATTTGCTTACAGAAAGGACATGGGCGAGTGGCCTGGGCATACTAGTTTGAGGGAGGTCCACCCAATCCGACTCCGGCCAGCACATTAGGAACTACTTGTCCAGCCCCCTGCCCCTCCAGAGATGTTCTGAGCAGGCTTTCCTCATACCCTGAGGCCACAGCCTCACTCACCCTGGTTGGAGGCGAGGCTTCAGGGCAGCACAGAGCTCGGTCACTAAGGCCTCCAGGCCCGGAGGAGACAAGCTGTTCCAGGGAGTGGATTCTCCTGAAGTGAGCCTTGGAACAGGGCTCAGGGTAGAACCCACCTGTGAAAGGTGGCAGGAAGCTTTAGTGTCTGGGAGTTGTTTCTGCTTCTTTCCCCAGGTCTACTCCCATCCCCAGGGCCTCACCAAGTACAAGGAGGTATGGGCAGTGTCTGCCAAGAAGGCGCTCGTTGGCCCATCCGGAGCTTCCCCAAGGGTTTTCTTCACTTTAAAAAACATCTCCCGCCACCTGAAGGAAAGAAGCCCCATGAATCCCAGACCCAGAGCCCACATACACCCCTCCCTGAGGACAAGGCGGCTGTCTCAATCATAGAGGTCCCCAGCAGGGACAAACTCAAGAGCAGCATGAGTAACGGACATGAGAGTTATGGCATGGTGGGGGGTGGGGAAGGGGAGAGGAGTAGGGTAGAAGAAAGCAAATGGTCTTCCTCATCTTCCAGGCTGGCCCATGTACATTTTTGAGGGCAGGAGCTATAACTGTCCTCCACATCCCTCATGACAACCATCAGGGAGCCATGGGGGCGTGATTCTCTGGGTGAATGGCCTACCCACCCACTCCGATGGCAGAAGACACAGCTGCACTAAGCAATGATCATCTGGCCATTTTCACTGGCTTCAGACTACTGTCTTCCCCTCAAATTCATACCTCCCAAGGCCTTCCAAAGCCTCAGCAGGAAGGGCTCCTTGGTTCTTATTCAACAATCCACAAAATCAAATTGCAGATACCTTCCTAAAGACAACTAATGATTAATGATTCTCTATTTTGGCTGCACATTAGAATGGTCTGTAAAACTTCTGAAAATCAGTATCTGCCACATGTTGTATGATTCCATTCAGCAGATGGTAATTGCTGGGGGCTGAGGGATGGAGGGAGTACAGCATGACTGTTAATGGGTAGGGTTTTGGGGTGATGAAAATATTCTGCAATTAGATAGTGGTGTTGGTTGCATAACCTTGTGAATCTACTAAAAGCCACTGAATTGTACACCTCAAACGTGGATTTCATGGCATATGAATTATATCTCAATTTTTTTTAAGTGATCTCTAAACCCATGTGGGGCTTGAACTCACGACTCCGAGATTAAGAATTGCATGTTCTACAGACTGAGCCAGCCAGGTGCCCCATGTTAGCATTTTTCTCTCCTTTGGAAAAAGTTAAAAAACTTCACAGGCCCCAGCTTCACCTTGATTCTGCTCCAATAGGTCTGAGGGGGCTCAAGCATCTGTATTTTTCAAAAGCTCCCCCAGCCATAACCAAGACTGTGCAAGTCACTGCTAGTGTCAGAGTGAATTAGGGCTCTTCAGCGTCCTAAGGGTGCAGAGTGGGGGAGCGGGTAGTAGTTACTAGCCCAATTTCCATATAAAAATGATGAACCACCCTCCTCTTTAATCCTCAGGTAGAAAGGCAATGACTTGGCCCAGACTTGGGCCTCTCGAAGTTCCAATCGGTGCAAATTGCTGTTCACCGTGTCTCGCAGTCATAAAACTGTTTACTCCGGCAGCAAAGTGGACTGGTGGGAATAACTCAAGGCGGAGGGGAGAGGCATACCAGACTGGTATTGTGAACTCTTGCAACTATTAGGGTGGGCAGTTATTGTGGTTAAAAACTAGAACCTAAGGAAGACTGTGTCTTACTACTATTCAGTATACATGAACAGTGGGTGGGTCTATAACCTGGAATCTCAATCCTGAGCCACTGCACGTGGTAAGCAGTGGAATCCAAGGAGGAACAGCACTGTGGAGGGTTAGGGGGAAACTTCCCTTCCATGGACAGCAGTAGGACCATCTCAGTGAGTGCAAGGAGCAGACTTCTAGAACACATCTGGATATTTCTGGGGAATGCTGTGTGTTATTAAGAGCCAGACAGGAGACAGTGCAGCTGGATCCCGCTGGCCTGCTTTGGGGAGGTGGAACCGTGGAAGAGCCTGAAGAAGCTACACTACCGACACTGGAATTCTGTTCCAGGGATCTCAGGAGCCTCCTAGCAGGGCTTTCCTTGCCAGGTCTGGGGGAGGAGGGCTAAAGCACTCATCTCTATCTGTCCTTAGGCCAAACTGCTGACCCCAACCCTGCTTTCCAGGACCTACTGTGTGCTCAGCAGCCAGAGAAAGGCAGGCTGCTAAAGGGCCAGAACAGCAGACATCCAGGAACAGAACAGGCTTGCTGGTCTATCTCAGAAGGGTCCAGTGCCTACTTTCCTCTGAAGGTACAAAGGGTGGGCATTCTGTAGGTTTCCTACAGAAAGCTAGCTCACAGATGTTTGCTATATTTAAGATGGGAGACAGAAGTGACTAATACAGGCCTGGCACTTTCTACGAGGCCCCAGTTGTAGATTTGATTTGGGAAAGCTCAAAGAGGCGCCGTGAGCACCAAGTGGGATTACAACGTGCACTACCAGGTGCTTCATCTGAGTACCACAACTCTGAGTGAACCAAGCTCTGAACGTTGACCAAGGATGAATCAGATGTCTGAACAAGGCATCTGCCTTGGCAGAGGACCCAAGCTGACTAGGCCAGAGACCTTGGGCATGCCCACTCTTAAACCTCAGTTCCTTCAGGCTGGTCCCATCACCTCACTGAAATCCCCTGAACATTGGCTTAGCGTGTCAATCAGTTGTGTTCTCCTTCTAGGACATCACTATAGGAAATCAGTCCTGGGGTATCAGGCTACACATTCTCCCCTTTCACAAAGCAGTCTCTGAATTCTCTGCCTCACCATTTTACACGGAACCCCTGTGATCAGTCGACAGGGTGGCAAAAGGATGGACTCCCTGTTTTGGGTGCTTGGCTCAGTCATGCTTATATTTCTCTTTATTGAGGATAAAGAAAAAGAGAAGGCCCCTCAATAACAGCAGCAATCTCTCTTTCCCCCATTTTGGGAGACAGGATCAAAAAGCTCCACGTGCACACACTATCGATTAGGGCAGAAATCGAAGCTTGGGTCTCTTTATGTTGAGTATATGGGAAGCGTGGCCCGAAACCTGGTGCAAACAACACTGTGGTTGAGAAGGAAAAGCAAGGAGTCTCATGTTGGTCTAGGCTCTTAAACTTCTTAATGCTTTACATTACCTATGACCACCCAACAAGTTGAGGATAAAACACCTCCCACAGGCAGTAGGCAGTGGTTCTTCATCTTTTTTCAGTCCTGCACCCATGTGAGAACCCGAAGAAAGCATGTACCTTTTCTCTAGAAAAATGTACATGACAACAACAGCAGAATTTTCTTATATACAAAATTATTCCACACAACTTGCGGGGAGGGGATCGTAGAACTCTTGCACCCAGGTTAAGAATCCCAACTGTAGGACAGGAGGCAGCTGCATACCTGGGCAGTTTCTCTGGGCTTCCTTCCAGGACCTCTACTTGCCCAACTGTTGGCACACACAGAACATCCCCTTCCTGGACTGCCCTGCAACACAGCAGTGGCCCTGGTCAGCTCACAATGAGAGTCAAGAACATGGGCCTGACATATCCCCACATGTCCATTCCCAACCTGCAGACCATAGGGACCTACTGCCCACCCAGAGATCCCAAGCAGTTGTTCAGAGAACAAGTCTGACCTAGAATGAACCAGGGCAGGGGACCGGGGCGGGGGGGGGGGGCGGGAGATGGCAGAGAGGCTAGAAAGGAGGATCAGAGAGCAGTGAGGGGGCGAAGCTGAGTCCTGGCTCTTTGGGGGCCCTCTCAATTCATAGGTTCCTCAGTTTAGAATGTCCAGATTCACCTCACGGTACCAATTTCTCTTCTATGGACCGCCTGCTACACCAAGAGGCATCTAGCCGCAATACTGCTTAAAATGTGGCTTTGTAAAGTTAAAGGCTCTGTGGGACCTGAATCTAAGGCATGGGATAGGAGGAGAGCAACAAGGGTGAGATGCTATCTTCTTGAAAGGGGGAAGCAGCTAACCTGGGTGTCTGAAAGTGCCGGTAAAGAACATGGTCATAATTTCCATTCGTGCTGTAGTGGGGAGAGGACACAATTTCGATGTGTAACTCTTTGGCAAACAGAGGCCCAGGCAGCACTGAGCAGCTTCCTTTGTCTTCAGGGATGCTGGAGCCTTCCAAGTACCTCTATTAGAGAAATAACCACCACCTTATAACCTTCTTCCAAGGAGTCAGGCTCTGCCCTACCTTAACGTTAGCAGCCCATATTTCTATTTGCATCCTCTATCCACAAGGCCCGTGGGAGGGGAGGCCTAAGGCAGCAGAACTGAATACCTGTATCTCTTCCCTGGAAACAGAAACCTCTCCTCCTAACGGGCACCAGGAAGAGATTTCTGACTCTGGCTCCAAACAGTTCCCCACTAAAAATAATCTTTCTGTGATACCTTTAAGTTGGCCCTGAGTCAGTAAAGTGGTAAAGACACTTCATTCCCACAAGCCCTTTGAGTAGCCACCAGGCAAAAACTGGGATTGATATTAATTGGACATTAGTGGGGACACTCTGAATTCAGGCTGTGAGAAACGGATATGATCTCAGGAAAGCTGACAGGATTGGTTCAGCTGAATGAGCTTCAGTCTGAGGACTCCAGAGTTTTTCCTCCATTCAAAAGGAAACCCACACCAGACTCCTATTCATGCATATCTTATATCCTTCTTGACATCTCATAGCACTAATTGGCTATGCCAGCATGATCTAACAGAACTTTCCACAGTGCTAAGAGATGTTATCTACATGTGCTATCGAGCACTTGAGATGAGACTAAAGCAATCAAAGAACTGAGTTTTAAATTTTATTTAGTTTTAATTAATTGAAAAAGCCACAATGTGGCTAGTGGCTTCCATATGGGACAGTGCAGGCCTAAACCACACATCTAGGTGCCTCATTAAATATTAGACTGTATTTGTTCCCCCAAATACAACAATCTTCTCGAAGTAATCTAAACCAAAAACTTCTCTTAGGTACATTTTTAAAAAATATTAAAATTCAACCCCAGGCACTAAAGATAATAAAGAGCCCTCCCCTTCAAGGAATTTACAATATACAACTGAGAATTAGAGTACATAATCATAACAGGGCAGAAAATAAATACCCTAAGGAAGATACAAAATGCTACAGGAGGAAGAATTCATGTTAAATGTGTGGTAAGATTATGTAAGGCTTTGAGAAGGTGGCATCTTTAGATGGTCTTTAAAAGGAAAGGATGGTAGGATTTTAACAGATGAGGCTACAAGAACAGGAAGGAACTTGAAGTCAAGGATAAGCATGAGCAAAAACAACGAGGTATCATCCTCCATATTATTCAGTACAATTCTGGACACACTGCAGCAATTCAACAAATAATTGAGTAGATTAACATACTGTAAACACCTGGTAATTTGCTATGCCTCTCTTCTTTCCCCTGAATAGAGGAAATCCCTTCCCATGCACCACCACACCATGGAGAGTTATATTTTGATTACAGAGAACAGATAAATGAGACTAAGAGACATTAGGATCTAAGGAGTAAGGGACCTAAATTCTACAGCTCTTTTCTTCCAATTCAGTTGAGGTAAGGAAGAGGGAATAAGGGGGTGGAAACATTCCTGACCTCAGTCCTGTATCCTACCTGAATTCTGAGCTCTCCCACTTCCAGGGGATCACAGCCGAGATTAAAAGCCAGAGTGGCAGGCACCAGGGCCAGTCCGTCAGCGAGGGGCTCTCCTGGCTGCCCAGAGCCAGGTCCCAGCCTTTCAGAGAGATCCCAGCGAGGCTCTAGGACCTGTACCTTGGCCAAGTGTGGCTGGGAAGTGTTCGACGACTCCCCGGCCCGGGTCACCCACACCCATTCGCCCTGGAAGAGGCCCAGGCTACGGAGGCAGCTCCGGCTTACACCCAGTGAATCCCCAGTCCCTCCCAGAACTCCCCAGAGTTGCCGGACTGTGCGGTTAACCGCGAAGGAGGACACCACGGGCGGAGGTGGGGGCGGGCTGCTGTCTCCAGTCTCCGGACCCAGTTTGGCCCGCCCACGGAGCTCAGTGACAGCTAGCCGCGTCCCTGGGCCCAACAGTCCTTGCAACGCCGGCCGAGTCTCCAGCACCCGAGGTCCGGGAACTGGCAGGGCCTCTCCGCGCCGCACCAGCAGCGGCCCGACTCGCGGTCCGAGCCCGGGCCCCGGGGAGGTGCCAAGCAGCGCCCAGCCCAGCGCCGGAGGCCGCCGCACGGGCCGTGCCCGCACCCACGCCCCAGGGCCCAGAGCAAGGAGCCGCAGCAGCGAGAGGCTAACCAGCAGCTCCGGGGGCCCGGGACCCTGCTCCTCGGTCCCTGCGCCCGGCCCCTCCAGGGCCGCCACTAGCAGCGCCGGCCCTGCAGGGCTCTCCCCTGCAGGCCGCAGGGCCAGCACCAGTCCCAGTCCCGCTGCAGGCCACGGGCCCCCGGGAGGCAGCAGCACCGCCAACGGGGGTGTCTCGGTCGGGAAGGGCTCCAGGACCCGCAAGACTGCCAGCGCCATGGTGACAGACCAACGAGGAAGCCGTTGGAGCGCGGCTTCCGGGCCAGCGCCGCACGCGGTTTCCGCTTCCGTCCGGGGAGGCGCGAGAAGAGTAGGAGGGGCGGCGGGTTCCTGGAGCGTCCTCCTGGAGGGTGAGCCCCGGCTGGGATTGACGGGTTGGTGCCTCTGTGGCAGTAACACATTCACTGCCGTTGCGTAGTCCTTTGAGACCGTGTTTGCAGGGATCTGCCTGCCGCGCCTGCTAGGGATTAACGTGCTCTTCTGCCACGCACTTAGCAGTTAATTGAATGATCAGCGAACTTCCTGCGTGCCCAGGACCAACTTGGCCCAGTGCTAGGAGCTATGGGTGGAGTGTTTAGGAAGGATTCCACTACTCTGTGGAACTCCTACACTTTCCAGTGTGGAACTATAGGCACTGGGATTTGGGTGTTGTGGGGAAGGTTACAGGAGGGAGTGGTAGGATAAAACGGTCTCACAGTGCTTATGGGTATGTAGTGGCTGCTGGCTGGATTACTACATGTGATTCATGTAGCCCTGGAGTACTTGGTGCTGCCACATCTGTTTCAACACATCCTACACAAAACCCACGTTCCGGTGTTTCTTGTCCTGTTCCTTCTACTCCCAACAAACTTGAAGTGAAGACAAAGCAACTTTGCTTTTTCATTCCTCCAAAACCGGTTGCTCTCCCTTCTGCTCCTCCCCCCCCCCCCCCCCGCCCCCCAATCAGTCCTTGCAGACTGGAGGCCCATGTCCTGTTTCTACCCTGGAGGAATGGGAAGCAGAGCAGGAGGAAGAGAGGTGTTTAAGGCTTCAGTCATGAGCACCCAACCAACAGCTTGCTTCCCAACAAGATTCCATCCTTGTCTCCACCTCCACTGCTCTGTGCAAGTCACTTGGACACTAGTAGGCCACACTTCAAGTTATTAACAATATATTTGCACTTAGAATCAATGGATTGGTTGGTGGTAATCTGCTTTTTAAAAATTATTATTGTTACTTTTTAATGTTTATTTTTGAGAGAAAGAGAGTGTGAGCAAGGGAGGTATGGAGAGAAGGGGTGGGGTGGGGACAGGATCCGAAGCAGGATCCTCGCTGACAGCAGAGAGCCCGAGCCCCAGATCAGGGCAGAGAGAGAGGAAGAGAGAGAATACCAAGCAGGCTCCTCACCACCAGTGCAGAGCCCAATGTGGGGCTCAAACTCACCAACCGTGAGATTATGACCTGAGCCAAAGTCGGATGCTCAACCAACTGAGCCACCCAGTGCCTAGGTGGTAATTTACTCTTTCTGGACCTTGTATTCTCCTCCAACCACTGCACAACTTACTTCTTTCCTTCACAGATGAAGAGCTTGAGGCAGCCCTCTACTTTGTACATTAGGCATTCCTGAAAATCTGAGAGTTGAATATTAGGTTTATATGTTATAAGGTATTTCTATTCCTAGCGAGACAAAATATTTTTTATTTATTTATTTATTTATTTATTTATTTATTTATTTATTTATTTAATGTTTTTATTTATTTTTGAGACAGAGACAGAGCATGAGCAGGGGAGGGGCAGAGAGAGAGGGAGACACAGAATCTGAAACAGGCTCCAGGCTCTGAGCTGTCAGCACAGAGCCCGACGCGGGGCTCGAATTCACAGACTGTGAGATCATGACCTGAGCCGAAGTCGGATGCTCAACCAACTGAGCCACCCAGGCACCCCGACAAAATATTTTTAAATGATTATAGTTCCTGGAGGTACTTCTAGTCTTAAACTTGAAATTGCCCAGTTCCACAATTTTTTTTTTTTAACTAATCTGCCCAACATGAGTCTTGAACTCATGATCTCAAAATCAAGAGTCATTGGGGCACCTGGGTGGCTCAGTTGGTTAAGTGTCTGACTTCGGCTCAGGTCATGATCGCACGGTTCATGAGTTCAAGCCCCACATTGGGCTCTGCACTGGTGGTGCAGGGAGCCTGCTTGGTATTCTCTCTCTCCCTTTGTCTCCGCCTCTTCCCCACTTGTGCTCGCTTGCTCTCTCTCTCTCTCTCTCTCTCTCTCTCTCAATAAATAAATAAATAAATAAATAAATAAATAAGCTTTATTTTTTTTTATTAAAAATTTGTTTAGTGTTCATTTAAACATCCCTCTGGGCGGGGCAGGGGCAGAGACAGAGGGAGAGAGAGAATTCCAAGCAAGCTCTGTGGTGTCAGTGAAGAGCCAGATGTGGCACTCAGTCTCATGAACTGTGAGATCATGACTTGAGCCGAAATCAAGAGTCAGATGCTTAACTGACTGAACCACTCGTTGCCCCACATTTTTTTTTTTTTTTGGAGGTACTCCTCCAATTCCACATTTTTTTAAAGTTTTTTTTAAAGTTATTTATTTATTTTTGAGAGAGAGAAAGAGAGAGCAAGCAGGGGAGGGGCAGAGAGAGGGAGAGAGAGAATCCCAAGCAGTCTCTGCACCATCAGCACAGAGTCCGATGTGGGGCTCAAACTCACAAACAGTGAGCTCATGACCTCAGCCGAAATCAAGAGTCAGATGCTTAGAGTCAGATGAGCCACGCAGGTGCCCCCAGTTCCACATCTTAAAGGAACATGCAAGAATGTACTAGGGACCTGGGGTGCCATGCTGGCTCAGTTAGTTAAGAGTCTGACTTCAGCTTAGGTCATGATCTCGCGGTTGGTGAGTTTGAGCCCCGTGTTGGGCTCTGTGCTGACAGCTAGGAACCTGGAAGCAGCTTCAGATTCCATGTCTCCCATTCTTTCTGCCTCTCCCCAGCTAGCACCCTGTCTCTCTTTCTCTCTCTCAAAAATAAACATTAAAAAAAAAAAAATGTACTAAGGACCTGAATTGAAATGGATGGAAGTTCCCATTTGGTAGTTCTGAATTATATTATGTGGCTCTGTCCCCTCAGTTTTCAGAGGGTCTAAGGACTGGGACGATGGTGGGGGTGGGTCCAAAGAAGATATGCCTACTTTATATAGGCAAGCCCTAGGCCTCAGGACTACAGTGCTCCTCGAGGCCTTGGGAATGGGTAAATAAGTCTGATATCCTGCCTGCTTCAGCACCCACACAGACACAAATATCCATCCACAAATAAATATCCTTTCTTCCTGGGCTTTTCCTCTATCAAATAGTGGTTGGTGGGCATTGCTTTGTATTACCTTGAAATTGTCATTAATCATTGGGAGCCAAATACTACTTCCATAAGATGGGAGTCTACATTTGTTGCCTTTACTTCCATACCTCTTGCTCACTCAACCCTTCCTTCCACTTCTCTATTATTATTATACTTCATTATAACCTTCCTTCCACTTCTCTAAAACTTTCCTGCAAAGATCACCCACAACTAGAGAATCAAGGTGGTGTTGTTTGAGCTTATCTTAATCATTCCCTGGAATCTGACACTATTGACCAATCCTCTTTTACTTCCTTTGCCACTATGACACCAGTTTTCCTTCTACATTTCTGACAGCTCCAGAACTCATCTTCAACTCCTCCCTTTCCTTTACCATCTTCCCCACATTCCAATGAATCATCAAGTCCTGTTGATTGTACACATTTCCCAATTCTGTCCTTTCTTCTCCATGCCCATGGTCTTTGTCTTGTAAGGTTGCTCTCCTGGTCAAGGGTCACAGGCTTTTGTTCTCTAGAGCCTTCTCCAATTTCTTCACATAGTAAATCGTCTACTGGAGTCAACTTTCTGAAACATACTCTTCCAGCCACCTCTAGGTTTGTGTAATTTATTACATTGTATCTTAAGCATCTGTTTATACAAGTCTGTGAACTTCACCAGTGAACTCCTTGAAGGCAGGAAATGATCTTATCCATTAGGACATTGGCTTGGGCAGGGTGGGAGTAAGATGCATTTCCTGAGACACTCAACAAACAACGAGGTAGCTTTTCCTCTGTATTCCCAAGGGTTCCTATCTAGCTGGTTCCCCAATCCCAGAGCACTTGCAGTAGCAACGGGGACCCTCTTTCCAAAACTGTAACAAACTCAGGATTCTCATCTCATCTCACCAAGGTCCCAGTCACCCAGCCTTCCCCTTTGATTCTCTGCATGCCTCGTTTAGGAAACGGATGCCCTGGAGGACTCTTGGGAGCTCTCTCCGCTAATTTTGCATATGCAATTAGTGGTAATTGCCCAGATGAAGAAAGGTGCCCTTCATTTTAGGGCTTCTTTCCTTCCATTCGTACTGGGCGAAGGAGCAGAGCGGGGAAAGTGAGAACCACTTTAGCAGGGAACCGGCTGCAAAAGAATGGCAGAGGCCGACGCACACCAGACGCCCGAGTGCGGTACTCGGTGCTAAGCTAGGGCTTCCCCTTTTCCCCACCTCCTTCGTTAAGCTCGACCCACTTTAGGGCGGGACCTCCCACTCAGCCAATTCTGGGAGACGAACCCTGGCGGTTTGTACTCTTCCTTTCCAATGAGAAAAAAAGGAAGCAGCTTGGCCCCAATAACCAATCCAAGGAGGCGGCGCCTGGTTGTCAGGCAGGTTTGTAAGAGTTTGGGCCAATTGGAGGCGCAGACACCGCTCGACCCGGGCGCAGCGCGCAGGCGGTGGCGAAGAGACGCCGAGCGGGCCGAGTGCGGCCGAGCAAAGCCGGAGCCGGAGCGGGGCCGCAGGAGCCGGGCTGGGTCCGGACGGGCCGAGATGCCCTATAAACTGAAGAAGGAGAAGGTGAGCGTGGCCCTTTTCTTCGCGCCTCCGCCTTGGGGCCTGCGCGGAGCACTGGGAGAGGCCGAGCCAGGCCCGGGACAGCCCCAGACTGACCCTCCCGTCCGGCCCCCGCAGGACTCCCGGGGCCAGCCCTCCGCCCCCGCCGCTAGCCGCACCCCCAGCCTGTGCCGCAGCTGGAAAAGCTCCCTCACCTTGCCTGGGATAGAGTCCCCCGCGTACACCTCCCTCCTTTCCTCCCCTCACCTACCCCCCGGCCCAGGGTAACCACCTCCCTCCAGATCTGCTCCACTCCCAGGTCACTCCCCTGCTTTTCCTTCCCGCCCCCACCCCACTCTCCCCACTCCCCACCCGGTTACCCGTTTGGGACAGCCCCTCATCTGAG